AAAAAAAAAAAAAAAAAGAAAGAAGGGGGGAGGAAGGAGGAATTAAAAGTTGCTCTAAACTCAAATCTCCTTATATGAAGTTGTAGCTGCCTGGTTACCAGTGCCCACAAGGCTTTCAGCCTCTGCTATGACCATTTACAACACATTCTTGCCTTTTCCCTCCAAGTCAGACCTCTCCCTGGTGATGCTGGAATGTTCGCTATTTTAGGAAATGAGACTCATTGCTCTCCATGCTGTTTACATTAGGTTTCAGACCAAGCATAAATGTGTGAGTGAGCAGGTCCTCCATACTGAAGGCAAGCCCTTCCCTGATTTTGTTCTGGGTCATTTTAAAGCAAATGCATAGCTATTCAAGAGGTTGAGATCTAAGGATGGAGGGTCAAAGCCAGCTCAGGCAGGAAAGTCTGTGAGACTCTTATCACCAATTAACCACCAAAATGCAGGAAGTAGAGCTGTGGCTCAAATGGGAGAGCTCTGGCTTTGAGCAAAAAGAGCTGAGACAGTACCCAGGCTCTTAGTTGAAGCACAAAATAAAACTGAGGTAAATAAAGCTTCTATCATTCCGTAGAAAAGAGTAAACCAATAGCCCAGCCAGCCACCAGCTGTTTCCTGCCGGGTGTGGCTACCTTCAGTGAAGAAGAGAAAAACACTGTAAACCAGCAGCATTCCTGACTCCCTACAGGAAAGAGGAGAAGAAACTAGGGGGACAGCTACATCAAAAGGCTCCTGGTCTGGGACTGGTGGCTTATGCCTATAATCCTAGCTTCTCAGGAGGCTGAGATCTGAGGAGCTCAGTTCAACGCTAGCCAGGGCAGGAAAGTCCATGAGAATATTATCTCTAATTAAAAACTGGAAGTGGAGCTGTGGCTCAAGTGGTAGAGTGCTAGCTTTGAGCAGAAAAAGCTCAGGGAAAGTGCTCCAGCCCTAAGTTCAAGCCCCATGACCAACCAAAAAACAAAAACCAAACAAACAAAAAAATGGCTCCTGAACACTCTGAGTACAGCTTCCTGTTGAGAGGGTATCACAAAATGGGTGCAAATCTGGAGTGACATGGTTCTGTGGCTTGTCTTTGACTTTTTTTGCTTTAGGTTTTTGTTTTATGAGTGTGAGTACTGGAGCTTGGACTGGGCACTATCCTTTGTTTTACTTAAATTTTGCACTCTACCTGTCAAGTCATAGTTCCACTTTTGGCTTTTTGCTGGTTAATTGGAGAAAAGCAATGTATGGCCTTTACTGCCCTGGCTGACTTTGACCCACAATACTCAGATCTCAGCCTCCTGAGTAGCTAGGATTACAAGTACAAGCCACCAGCACCCAGTCTCAGGTAAAGGGACTGCTTTTTTATTATTTTTTAATTAAGCAGCCTTTGCATAGCCAGAAGCCAAGGAAATGAAGGCCAGCACTAATTACAACTACCTCTTGGGTAACTTCCAAGATTAATCATACTGAAAGCAATTAATGTGATTGTTTTCACTGCAGCGAACCTTCTTTGTTTGGTAACAAAGCCATATTCTATGTTCTACATAGTTAAAAGTCATTTGGTGAGGTCAGCAAAATTCTTAGGTGGTTCCCATAATCCCCATCCTTGGCATTCACACTTCTGTGTAATCCCCTTCCTTTGAAAGAGTTTCAGGGCAAAGACCTGACCAAGAGGATATGTCACCTCACAGTTGTGCTACTAAGTATGACAAAAATGAGATTTTTTTTTTTTTGTCAGTCATGGGCCTTGAACTCAGGGCTTTGGCCCTGTCCCTGAGCTCTTTTGCTCAAGGCAAGTGTTCTACCACTTTGAGCCAGAGCACTACTTCTGGGTTTCTGGTGGTTAATAGGAGATAAAAGTCTCACAGACTTTCTTTCCCAGGCTGTCTTCAAATCACGATCCTCCATTCTCAGCCTCCTGAGTAGCTAGGTTTACAGGTAGGAGCCAACAGTGCCTGGTGTGGCTTTTTTTTTTTTTTGACATAATTAACTTTGTTCATCATTGGACTTTAGTCAAAAGGAACATACATAGGCTCACCTATGTAGGTAAACCCTTGAAAGAAGGTCTGGAAGTAAGAGAAGTGACTATCTCATCTCCACTTCTGGCTGAGGAGAAATAAACCCTGTATTTTCCACAACCACCTAGAAATAAATTCTGCCAACAACTCAAGGGCTCTTAGAAGCCTCCTTTCCTAGGAGAGTAGAAACGTAAGTCAGCAAGGGAGAACACATCTGAGCTATGCCTGAACTCCTAACTCACAGAAACTGAGATGATAAATCTGTGTTGTTTTAAGTCACCACATCTGTAGTCACGGGTCATGCAAGTCATAGGTAATCAGAAGCGGGTCTGGTGACAACACAGAGCAGCCTGGACATAGCCAAGCCTTACCTGTACTTCCATGCCGGCGGGCTGCTCCAGCACGCCTTCTAGCGGCTGTTTCCCCTGAGACAGTTGTTCTACCAGCCTCTCCTGGGCAGCCAGACTCTGGCTCAGTTCTTCAATTCTCCTGGAGTAAAGCAAAGGAAGGACAAATCGGTTACCTGACTCCACTCCATCTGTTCTTCCATGGTCTCCTGATGATCAAGAAGTGAATACCAATGGGTCTGGGAAGGTGGCTCAGTGGTAGAGTGCTTGCCTTGCATGCATGAGGCCCTGGGTTCGATTCCTCAGCACCATATAAGAAGAAAATGCTGGAAGTGGCGTTATGGCTCAAGTGATAGAGCACTAGCCTTGAGCTGAAGCACTGAGAACAGTGCCCAGGCCCAGAGTTCAGGCCCCATGACTGACCAAAAAAAAAAAAAAAGAAGTAGATATCATTGAAGATTCCATCCTAGCTGGGCACCAGTGGCTTGCACCTGTCATCCTAGCTACTCAGGAGGTTCAAAGCCAGCCTGGGCAGGAAAGTCCCTGAGATCCATCTCCAAGTAACCACCAAAAAGCTGGAAGTGGAGCTGTGGCTCAAGTGGTAAAGTGCTAACCTTGAATGAAAAAAGCAATACCTAGTCCTGAGTTCAAGTCCCAGGACTTGAATTAATATATAAAAGACTCAGTCCTAAAGAGAAATTCTTGCTTGTGGGGGCCACGTAGTGAAGACACCACAATCACTCCTCCAAAGTGAGCATTGTGGCTGCTGTATGTCCACAGCCTAGAGAACTAACAACCCCCCCCCACCCCCAACAAAAAGCATGCCCAGGCCAGGAGCTGGTCGGTGGCTTACGCCTGTCATCCTAGTTACTCAGGAGGCTTAGATCTGAGGATCATGGTTCAAAGCCAACCTGGGCAGGAAAGTCTATGAGACTGTCATCTCCAGTGAACCACTAGAAAACTGGAAGTGGCTCAAGTGGTAGAGTGCTTTCCTTGAGCAGAAGAGCTGAGGGACAGCACCCAGGCCCAGAGTTCAAGACCCACAACCACTACCACCAATAAAACAAAAAAGTGTGCCCAGACACCTACTTGTCCCTGAGGGCCAGGGCTTCCTGGAATCCTTGGGGCTCCCTCTGCTCTCCCCACGGCTCCTCCCTGTCCTTGGTGACATCCTTCAGCTTCTCTGAGAGCTCTAGGTTACATTCCTTCTCTGCTTCCACCAGAGCGGCCATCCGTGCAGCTTCATCCTTCGCTAGTCTGGATTCCTGGACGGTGGGGGGCGGCGGGGGTGGGGGGCAGTGGGCAGAGAGGACAGAGGGATGAGGGAAAACTGAGTGTCTGCACTGATCTAAGTTCAGGTCTTAGGAACACATGGTAGGTTTGGTAGAATGGAAAGTAGAGAGAGAAACGGGGCCAGTGGCTCACGCCTGTCACCCCAGCTACTCAGAGGCTTGGATCTGACACCAGCCCAGGGAAGGAAGGTCCATGAGACTCATCTTTAATTAACCACCAAACAGCCAGAAATGGAGCTGTAGTTTATGTGGTAGAGCACCAGCCCTGAGCAAAAAAAAAAAAAATGACAGTGCCCAGGCCCTGAGTTTTAGCTCCAGTACTGGCACAAAGGAAAAAAAAAAGTAGCTAGAGGTCTGGGAAAGTGGCTCAGTGGTAGAGTGCTTGCCTTGCATGCATGAGGCCCTGGGTTCGATTCCTCAGCACCACATAAGCAGAAAAAGCTGGAAGTGGCACTGTGGCT